TTTCATAATTTTAAGTTTCATTTTGCAGGGTAAGTCCCAGTAAAAACCTTTTTATTATTTAATACGAAATTTTGGTTTCGTTTATAAGTGGATTTCTTCAAGTGGCCTTTTCCTGTATCCATTATCTTTGAACAATGAAGATCTCCTGTCTTGCGTGTTTCCTTCCTTGCATAGACTAGTAAACTTGTGGAATAAGTAAATGAGGGCATGGCTGACATGATTTGTTCTTGGCTAACCCAAGCTGGGTCACAATGATCAATCACTTTTCTTCCAGGGGATCACAAATGCCCTTTCCCCTTTAAAATCCATTCTAGAATCATGTCCTCAATCTGCTACGCCCACCAGTTCACAGAGTATGAAACCCTCTTTTTTCTTTTTAATGGAACACTTTTTCTGTCTCCAGGATTCCAGCACCTTTTGAAAAATCTGCAAGTGCCCTAAGATCACAGATAAACACTGAAAGTCTCTTTCCTGGGTTCTGTAAGTACTCTGGCCTGTAATTCATCTGGGCCAAGAGGCTTGAATGTAATTCAATTCAGGACACAAATAAAGGTTCTCATTAGAGGGGAGTGGCCACAGTGCAAGACAATTTGGCAACACACTGATGTCACCGAATCGTGGAATGAAACAGATGCCTTGTTAATGTGGAGGCCCTGATGTCTTTCCAAGAACTGGCTTCTGTAGCTCCTTGAGTTCTGACAACCAGTCATCTGGGGCCAAAAAGTAAGGTTGAAGGGTCTGGAAGTCTCCTTTAAAATTCTCTTCCATCTTGCCATGTGCCATAATCCTTTGGGGTCTGTGGGAGAGAAGAGAGAGTGAGAGAAAGGCAAAGGGAACCAGCTTCCCACTGGGATGCTGAGGAGAGGTGGGGGTTCACCTGTGTGCAGCCCGCTGGTGGAAGCGAGTCTGCCCATAGGACTCTGAGGTTGATGTGAACGTGCATGACCTTTTTAAAAGGTCACCCACTCCTCATATCTCCTCCAGACTCTTGCCACACAGGGAAGTCTGAATTTTCACATTGCATTTCTGGAGTTTTAACTGCGGGCTCAAATTTATAAAGCACTGTGCCAGCCAGACCACACATACCCTAGGGTCTGATCCAAACAGTAGCTCCCAGTTTGCAATCTCTGGCCTAAGGCAGCATGTAAAGATTACAGGTGGGCAGAGAGAAGATGCTGATTGTCAGTTTCTTTAGTCACTGCTCCCAGAATGTGATGGGAATGCAGATTCATGTCTTCTTAGTTCAGAAGAGCAGTTTTCTATTTTATAAGGGTTAACAGGCAGTTTCTATTTTATAGGGCTTAAACAATTGGTAGGGGTGCCTGGGTGGCTCAGTCGGTTGAGCGTCCGACTCTTGATTTCGGCTCAGGTTGGGCCCCATGCATGCATCGGGCTCTGCGCTCAGTGGGGAGTCTGCTAGAGATTCCCTCTCTCCCTCTCCATCTGCTCCTCCCCCCGCTCGCACACACACACTTTCTCTCTCAAATAAATAATCTTTAAAAAAATTGGTGTTACAGGGAATCTTCTTTTGATGGCACTGAAGTTTGACAGAAAGAGCCTTAACTTCACAATGAGGAACTCATATGGTTGCACAATTTGGGGGCACAATTTTTGTGGGGGCTGTGTCTCCCCAAATCAGAAGACACTATGACTTTGTTGTCTATATGTTTGGGGCCCTCAAATTGGTAGCTGGAATAGTGTATGCATGAGGTAAATACTCAAACACATAGAATTAATGCTCCTGGCCACTTCAGCTTGCAAATTTCACTTTAAAAACATTAAAAAAAAAAAACTCTTGTGTAAATACCTGATTCCCTTAGGCTTAAGGTGTGGGGCAGAGGAGGAGAAATACAACCTTCGTTATCCTCAAAGATCAGAGGAGCTATAACACACTTGCTAAGTCAGGGAGGTATATTGAGGCAACAAGAATGACCTTCCGGTGAGTTTTGTTCAACCTTTGGATAACCTGGATCCCAATTTCCAAACACAACACAGTTGAACTTTCAGGGTTTTCCCCTTCAAATCTAAAAAACAAATTTTTATCTTCCCAACCAAAACCTCTATAGGTTTTAATGGTGTCATCCAATCACTCAAACTAGAAACTCTGGAATCATCTTTAAGTCTCTCTCCGGATAGTATTGGCCACCAACTTCCACACAGTCTTCAATTCATACCCTTTTTCTCTCTCTTGATTCAGCGCTTCATCATCACTCCCTGATATTTTAATGATCTCTCCCCCACTCTCTCCAGTTTCAGTTGCATGGGCCATCATTAAAGTTGTTATATATACCTGCAGTTGCCCTCAACCCCCTTACGCTTCTCCCCCACCGTTGTAAGACTTTGGTGGAAGAATCCCAACGCTGGTTAAAGCTGACATTCTCACTACTCTCCACCTGTGTCCGGAAGCTGAGCTTGGGTGGGAAAAACCACTCAACCCTGCTGACTGGCCACACTGAGCATCCCAAACCGCAGGTGGGTCCTCAGTGCAGCCTGGAAATTATAATATATTCCCCTGGTCAACTGACTTCCCAGCTCTTTCGATGTCTCTCCTCCAGTGCGTCCAGTGTTGCCGTAAGCCTCCCCTGCCCCCCTAACTCTCAGCTGCCGACTGTGCCCGCCATTCAGCTGGGAAAGGGAAGCAACCAGCAGAGGTGTCTCTCCTCTCCCACCCCTAGACCATTGGCCTAACTCATCTCCTTGTGTCCCCTCTGCCCCCAGCTCCCCAGTGACCCCAGTCCAGTTCCCATACCGCCAGAGTGATTACATATCACTCACTAAAATCCGAGCTGCTTACCCCATCATGGCCCTCCTTGGTCTACCCATCTGCAGGTCTCAGGTTTGTGTCCCTGGCTCTCCAGCACCTGAGGCCCGGGTTCACCCGGGGATCTCCGCACATGCAGCTTCTGTGGCGGGAGCGCTCTCCCCAGGAAGGCACGTGGGGTTCACTTTCTCGTTTCTCTCAGGTGTTGGTTCAAAGCGCACTTCTCGAAGAGACCTTCCCTGTAACCACACAAGCACCTCTGCCTTGTCACCCTCAGTTCGTTCCCTGCTTCATTTCCTATGCATTTATGTACCAATAAAAAAAAAATACAGAGAGGGGCGCCTGGGTGGCTCAGTCGTTAAGTGTCTGCCTTCGGCTCGGGTCATGATGCCAGCGTCCTGGGATCGAGCCCCGCATCGGGCTCCCTGCTCCGCAGGAAGCTTGCTTCTCCCTCTCCCACTCCCCCTGCTTGTGTTCCCTCTCTCGCTGTGTCTCTCTCTGTCAAATAAATAAATAAAATCTTAAAAAAAAAAAATAGAGTAGTACTATGATTTATGTTCCTTATTTTAACTTCAGAACACTATTGGGATTAATGCTGTAGCTGGCCCAGGTCTCCTAAAAATACAACAAAAAAAGCCTGAACTGATGTTCTAGAGCAGTTTCCCCATGTCCGTGGTGGCATTCTGAACCATTCTATCACTCTTAGATCTAAGCTGAAATGGAAGTGTATTTAGGAGGTTGTTGTTTAGAATGGTGAGGGTGGGGTTCCACCAACTGGGAAGCACGTAAGAGTCAGGGCTGACCTCACTCTTCTTGTTTTCAACCTCTGTCTCTCAGTTTATTCACAGCTAGGATAAACCTGCTCAGTTACGGGCTCCGTTACAAGCCACCGGGGAAACACTGGTGGAAAAGCAAAAGCAACTAGGTTTTTACCGAGGGGTTTCAGGACCTCTCTCAAAGAATTGCGGGCTCTCCCTTGATGGTAAGAACAGTGACCAGGTGTGACTCTTCCCGAACCAACCCACTGTGTACGCCTGTGTTACCTCCAGGAGACAGAACGAATCTCCTTTCACGGTGGACCGCAGTACCTTGCCCAAGGATCACCCCCCCCCCACCGCCCCACACACAACGTAGCTTCTGATGAAGCCATCATAAGCAGGTTTCCCAAAGGTGCCTTTCAAGATAGGCTCTCAGAAAGCTTTTTTCTCAAGCAAGTTTGTCCTCCAACCTCACAGAGCTGATGGGCCACCAGCCTCTGTGTAGAGAGCGTACACATTCTGCATTTTTGTAGTGGAAACATTAGCAGTGGCCAGTGGCGATGTCCTGGCCTGCTTGGCAAAGGTCATCTGAATTTGTGCTCCCTTGGCATCACAGTGGCCCTGACGTTTCATAAAAGCACAGACCTACCCCTTCCTTCTTTGGCCTCCGGATGTTGAGTTTGTCAGGCAAGGTGGGCAGGAAATCTGGCCAGTTCATAAGTCCTTGGACAGAGTGTGCCCACCAACAGGGGTTACATCTGCCGCCACCTGGAGAAGGCTGTCCCTACCCACCCACCCACATCCCCGATCACTGGGGGAGTTTCCACACTTCTTGGCTATTCAGGTAGGACCCTCGCACACCTGTGAGAGCCTGGGTGTTTGGGTATGGGGCTCTGCCCAACAGGGGCCCCCCAGCCTCTGGCCAAGGACTCCAGGCGCGAAGCCGCACCCAGCTGCCCTCTTTGTACTTCTGGGTCCCTGTGAGCATATGTTTCAGTTCCCCATTCTGGGGGAACTCTTCAAGTAGGTCCAATTCCCAAGGTTCACCCAAGGGGAGAAAGGTGCTTTGGAGGTATACAGGGATTTGAATGAATCTTGAAACTGGTCCAGGGTCACGGAGTACAAGCTTCCCAAGGTGACTTCAGACAGCGGAAATACCCCAAACTTTCCTTCCATACAATTTGCTCTGGCTGAGGCGGGAGGGGAACGCTACCCCGAAAGGAGGCGGCCAACGGTGGGGAGTTTGTGATCCATCGGGCGGCTAAGTTGACAAGGGGGGCCGGCTGTCTTAGTTCACCACCCTGAAGGCGTTCAGGGAGCCGGGGTTTTTGTGACGGAGACCTGGGTGACTGGGACTGGCTGCGAACAGTCACAGCGCCGAGGGCGGCCCGGTGGGGCGAGGGCGGAGCGGGCGCAGCTGCGCTGACTGCCGCGGCAGAAAGGGGGCGGCCGCGCCCATTTCCTCCGCTCAGCCGGGGCCGGCGGGATCCGCATCGGCGAGCGGCGCCTCCCCGGTGTCGGCCGCGGCGCCTCCGGACTGTGCCGGGCTGGGGCGAGACTGCTCTGGCCGAGTCTGCGGCGGCTGCCACCCCTCCGGACGCTCCGAAGTCCGCCGCGCGGTTCGCGTTCCGGCTGCCCGTATGGACGCGGCGCTGAAGCGGAGCCGCTCGGAGGAGCCCGCAGAGCTCCCGCCGTCGGCCCGGGACTTGGAGGAGGAGGAGGAAGAGGGGATGGAACAGGGGCTGGAGGAGGAAGAAGAGGTGGACCCCCGGATCCAGGTAGGGCGCGCGGGGGGTGCCGCGGAGGCGGGCATCCACACTTACATCCGCCTCGCGGCCCCCAGTGCCTGCGGTCCCGGGCGGTGGTGGCCACGTAGGTCCGGAGGCGAGAAGAGAGGGTCTGGATTCCCAGTTTCACCGGGTTCACGGGGAGGCTGCGGTGCCCGCGTGGATGCGGCCTGACTATCGTGGGGGACCCCCGCAGACCCCCGGCAGGATCTGGGGGTCGCCGCAGCGTGCCCAGCGGTTCGGGCGGATGTGCAACAAAGGGAAAAAGGGGGCGCGGGCGCCATGCGGGTGTCGGGGTCCCCCCGCCAGGCTCGCGGCGCGGCGGGCATCGCGCGGCCTCCGGGCTGGGGGCGGAGGGGGTCGGCCGGGCCGCGTGGGCGCTGGGCACCGTGGGCGTTGTCCGCCCCTGCAGCGTGGGCTGGCACTGGTGCCCGGGTGGCGAGCCCTCACCTGGCGGAGGTGCCCGGCCTGAGCCATCTTCCTCCTCTCGGATTCATTGTTTAGCAAAGGGCTTATTGTCACCCCTGGCTCAAACCTCCGCTTGGCTTCAAAGGGTCGAAAACCCAGCTTTTCCTTGTTAGGAGGTCGGGGTGTGAACAGAAACCGGGGACAACTGATGCGCAAAGCTCACGCGGGGAGAAGGCGAGGGGATTGGCCTGGCTTTCTGAGCCTCCATTTCTGAGGGAGATGATTAAAAAACAATTTCTAAGCCAAGATCTAGGAGTGACCCTCTAGGCAAAAAGCACGGCAAATCTCTTTCCAAGACCCGTTTTTCTACCTTCTCCATTAATCATTATATATATATATGTATATATGTTGCTTTTAATCGTGCTCTGCAATTTCTGGAGCCCTAATTGGTTTTTCAGTGCGCAGATCAATTAAAAGCCCATTTAACTCAGCTGTTGCCATTTAAATGAATTGTTTTGGCAGATTAGCAAGATAAAGATCAGGTGGAAAAATCTTTGCATTAGGAATTCTATTAATTAAAATCACTACTTTAGACTACTAAATCTTGTTTTCCTGGTACGGGAATCCGGTTTACCAGACCCTTTGTTTGCAGAGTAAAATGAGTTAACTTCGCTGGGTACTTTTTACAAAATGTCAGTTTATAAATGTTTATTTAAAAGATCAGGATTAAAGCTAGGTTTTGTTTTGTTAAAACAGCTAGGTAGGTTTAATAATCGACAGTTTGAAGGGAAAAGATTTTCCTTTCTAGAAAAAGAACTCAACCACTGATGAGTTAATGCCAGAATTCTGCCCTTGATTTAAATCATTTCACTGGGTTTATAGTTTCGGCGTGGCCTTGTTTATTTTATTGTCTTTTCTGCAAAGTTCTTGCTCTAAGGCAGAAGGTCCTGCTTTAATGTGACTCCTAAACCATTTGTAACAGGTGAGTTTACCTGAAGGCACATACCTGCAATAAATACTTGACCTTCCAAGAAAAAAATCCCTGGGACCTTAAGGCATTTTTGGAAGGGACACCATCAAGAAAAAATAACTGACATTCATTTGCTCTTCAAGCCAGGGCTCAGCTGTTTTCCTTGAGAATTAATAGTGACTCATCCCTCTGCTTATAAATGGTGCTGGAGTACTTTTGCCGAGAATGAGCTCCATCATACTGGAAACAAAAGACGAATCCCTTAAAAGTTTCTTCCCTCTTTTCTTCACTAGGGAGAACTGGAGAAGTTAAATCAATCCACGGATGACATCAACAGACGGGAGACTGAACTTGAGGTACTGGAGGCTGGGTCCCTGTTTGGTGAGGTGGTGTCAGTCCTGCTGACACCAGGCTGCTTGATCTTGTTTTAATAGCTGGAGGATGATTGCTGGCGTCCCCTCCATGGAGTTGAGCAACAGCCGCTCTCTGACAGAATGAAATACAGGGCTGAGCCCAGCGTGTGGGTGGAACACATGTGGATCCTATTTCACATGTTTTTCATCATGGGTGCTCGGTGGGGCCAAAACCAAGGGCTGTGTGGAGCGAGCACTAAAGTTCATGCGGCTGCGGAAAAGCTTGAAAGGATTGAGGGGAGAATTAGCTGCACTCTATAATGGAGAAGAACGAATGAGTTGACAAAAATCTCTCCAATATTTTAGGGTGGCTCCTTATAGTTGTACTTGGAAACATTGTTTATTTCCTTAGACTTGTACCGTTTTTGACTTTCTGTCCTAAAAATTCACCCCCTTCCGCTTCCCTGCTCATTTCCTTATTGTCTGTTTGCGTGTAGAATATAATGATCTTAATGGTAGCAAAAAGCTGTTTAGACTGGAAGGGCTTTCCTGCTGGGAGGAGTCTTGGGGGAGACAAGAACTTGATTTGAATTTCATGAGCATCTTCCAACGTGAGTGTAAACAGATGAGCATTCTTCGCAGCTACCAATTAGTCCCCATCCCTTTTTAGTGGTGGTTGGTTTTACCATCCATCAACAAATTTGAACAAGCCCCGCATGGGTCTGAAACCTGTGAATGACTCTGTCAGAGCACCGAAGGGCTGCAGGGAGCTGTTGGGAGGATGTGTTTCTATAGCAGGAGAAGTAGTAGGGAAGGTCACCGAAAAGGGCAGGAAACATCTGGTCCCTAAGAATGAGGGTGTGGGAGATAAGAATAATCTACTGGGAGGACACCGGCAGCCTTGATTTCTGACAGCATGGCTAGGCCCTGGAGGCACCAGATCTGAGTGTGGCAAAAAAAAAAAAAAAAAAAAGGATTAAAAGCATGCTTTCTGAGTTGTGTGTGAAGGGTTATCGCCCACCCCTCTATTCTGATTGTTTATATCCATGAACACTGGCCGCCCTTCTCCCCCAGGTGAAGTAAAACCTGCATATTTATTTAAAATTTTTTTTGACTTCTGATGAATCGAGTCTCTTGGGGCAATTGAAATCTCTCAGAATCTCACATTTCTAATATATTAAACAACAAAACCCCTGCCATTTCTATAGGGCTTAAGAGTTTACAAAGTGATTTTTATAAGCTTTATCTCCTGTCAGGGCAGCCTGTGATAGATTGGATAGAACTGTGCTATCCAATATGACAGCCATTGGCCATGTGTGGCTCTTTACCTTTAAATTAATTGAAATAAGATGAGAAATTCAGTAGCCACATTTCAAGAGTCTAGTAGCCACCATATTGGACAGAGCAGAGAACAGTTCCATCATTGTAGAAAGTTCTGGAGAGCACAGTCCTGGAAAGTGGGGTCTGCCTCTTCTCCAGTTGAGGATGTGGGGAGTACAGGGTCTCATCGTTCAGTAATGTGGCAGAGCCAGGTCATTTCCCACATCCCTTCTAGCTCCCATGTTCTGCCATTCCAAACTGTGTAGATAATTCAGAAATAGGCTTTTTTTTTTTTTTCTTTGCAAAGGATTGCTTTATTTGACAAATATTTGTATGCCTATACTTGGCTTTTTGGGGCCAAGAAGGCTCCACAGGGTGCTTACCTTCTGAGTCTAAAATTGGTTCACCTGATAAACTTTTAGCTCTGATTTCACAATCTTCTTTCTGAATACACTTAGGTGTGTGTGTCGCAGAAAGCTGCAGGACAGGTGTTTCCGGCCTTGCTCTGGAGAGTGCTAGGCAGCAGTGAAGAGAGAGTAGGCTTGTGTTCCTGGCTGACCTTTTCTTGGTAGTATTATAACCAAGGTGGACTCACAGCAGGCTACCTAAGTCATGAAAACTTCCCTCGGGGCCACATTAACAAGTACAAAAACAGCTGAAATTAATTTTAATCTATTTGTTTGGCCCAGAACGCCCAGCATCGTATAATTTCAACAGGAAATGAACATACAAGTAGTTGATGAGATGTTTTATGCGTATTTTTTTTACTAAGCCTTCAAATTCTCGTGCATATTTTAGGCTTAGAGCGCATCTCGACTTGGACCAGCCACATTTGCCTGAATAGCCTCATGTGGTCCCAGGTCTGGTACATTTCCTGTCAGACTCAGGAGCAGTGGGATTTCACCCTCAGCGCCAGCGCTGCCCGGGCCCGAGGGGAGGAGGAGGTGTGTGCGCCGTGGGCTGTGTTCCTTCCGTCAAGCGCCGGGCGCCCACCTTGGTGGGGGGGCACTGTGTCGGCCACCGCAGATCCGCGGGTGAACAAGACAAAGGCCTTGCCCTCAGGCAGTCTAACTTTAGCTGAGGGTGAGGAACCGAGAGGTAGAGGGTAATTGCTGACTGTCATCACTGCAGCCGAAGAGTGAGGTGACGGGCTCCGCGGGAGGGGACACTGGAAGACACCTGAGCAGAAGGCCGCTGAGCGAGCGAGCGAGCGAGCAAAGAGGAGCAGGTGTTGCGGAGGGAGTGTGCCAGAAGATGTGGGACAGAAAATAGCCTTTTTTTTTTTTAAAGATTTTATTTATTTATTTGACAGAGAGGGGACACAAACAGGGGGAGTGGGAGAGGGAGAAGCAGGCTTCCCACGGAGCAGGGAGCCCGATGCGGGGCTCGATCCCTGGACCCCGAGATCATGACCCGAGCCGAAGGCAGACGCTTAACAACTGAGCCACCCAGATGCCCAAAAAACAGCCATTTTAACATAGGGTCGGTTCTCTCGTTATCCGTGGTGACCGTTTTTCTGTGAAGTCGCTGTGAACATTGAATTAGGGAATGCTGAACCGTTGCTGGGCCTTACATTACGTGTTCCTGTGAGCCTCTGGTCACACTGTTTCCCGCTGCTGGGCAATCTAGTGCCTTGTTCTATGTGTGTTTCTGTTGAAAGCCAGTTTATTTCATTGACGTGGTTGATGCATTAGTGTTGGACTTGCAGGCAACAGCCTTGTGGCTCAGGCCTGAGCAGAGCTTGCCTTGCTAACCTGGCCGTGCTCGGCGCCCGTCACAGCTTTCCTGGGCTCAGCAACGCTGGCCAGCACTTCAGCCCTGGGCCTGGGCGCTGCGTCAAACAGCCGACTCCCCAACACAAAGCACAAAAGTGCAAAAAGTGTGGCATTAGCTAGACCGTGAAAGGACACTAATTTACAGCAGAAGAGCTGAAACAAGAAGGCAGAGCGTCTCTCCGTCCCACCTCACTGGGAACACGCAGGTTGGGCACTTCAAATTTTGGTCACTCCGTGCCAGTCCGTGAATGACTGGAGAAGCTCCGGGACTATTGATTTTGGAGCTACACATAAATTTTAGTGAGTATGGAATCTGCAAATAATGAGAATTGACTGTCTGTAATGTCAGAGCCTCTAGGGGAGGGTCGTTTGCTTCTGCGTTTCTTTTCCCTTTGCTTTTTAATTACGGTCTGGAGGGGCCAGCACCCCTCCTGACCTTGACTCTGATTAAAGCACATTGGTGATTAGGTCTGTGTTAGCTGCTGCTTCCCTCGGAACGTGGTGTAGTTGGCTCTGGGCAGCCATAAGCTGAGGCGCAGGCCTGGATTCACCTTACAATCCCATCCCTTGTCTCAGTTCTTTAAATCGGAGGCTACTGAAAGACCTCTGGATGCCAGCCACCTTCCACGTTGTCAGTTGGAAATCTGCCCCTTCCTGCAACCTTGCTTTGCCTCTGCCGTTGTTTAAACAATGTCGTATTCCCTTTGCACTGATTTATATTAAGAGGGCCAGTCCTTTAAGACTGGCAGCGGGGGTGGGGGGGAGGGGGGCTTTTAACCAGAGAAGCCCTTGGCTAGAAGCCTGATATTTCAAATTAAGAAAATAAATGTATTTTCTCACACACCTGTGGATTAGTCAGCTTTAATCATTGAGTATTTATTGAGCACCTACTGTGTGCTGAGAACCGTGAAGAGTAGAGAGCAGTGGAGAGAATGGGCAGAAAATTATAATTGATTAAAATACACAGTAGGTTACATGGTGATATGCCCTAAGGAGAAAAGGCATGGAGGGGCTAGCGGTGTGCGTATTTGGGAGCCAGGAGGATACAGTGTTACTTGTAGTGGGTTTGAAAGGCTTCCCTGAACGCGTGTTTGGAGAGAGTGCACCTCAGGGCCATGTGGGGGACAAGCATTCCAGCCAGAGGGAATAGCCAGTGCTAAGCTGGGAGTAGGGCCTGGCCTGACTGAGCGCTAGCAAGGGGGGCCCAGCATCCTGGGGTTGGGGTGAGCCATGGATAGAGGAGAGGAGAGAGAGAAATGTGTCATCCAGAGTGTAACAACTCTGCCAGATAAGGTAAATGTGCTGATATACTTTTACAATATATGTTCTATAGAGCTAGCTTTTTTTTTTTTAAAGATTTTTTTTAAAAAAGATTTTACTTATTTGATAGAGCACAAGCAGGGGAAGCAGCACAAGCAGAGGGAGAAGCTCCCCGCGGAGCAGGGAGCCTGATGCGGGGCTCTATCCCAGGACCCTGGGATCATGACCTGAGCCGAAGGCAGATGCTTAACCGACTGAGCCACCCAGGCGCCCGTAGAGCTAGCTTTTTTCAAGTGTTTGTTAAAATGAGATGCGGCACAGAGGATTTCTAAAGCATTGTAATCAAGATTACAATATTTCCATGCCAGTTACCTATTTTTTTTACCGTGATATGTGGTGTTTTCATGGTCTCCCTTGCTTGACCGGAAGGCGGGCTGTTCTAGGGCCAGGAAATGGTCAAAGAGGAGGAGGAAGGACACGACCAGGGCTAGTTATCCATGGACAGCTTTTCTGGCTCCAAGTTGTCAGAAGCTGACTTTTTCAGCCTGCCCTTCCCCTGGGAGGGAAAAGCCGTTAATTGTCAACGCTCAAGCTTTTTCCCTCACTGCTTAGGTGGGGGTGGTTTGAAAAAGCATTTGATTCTGGAGCCAGCTGTGTTCCCCACCTTGTGTAAGGCCCGCACCCAGAATCTGCCTTTCTCCCCTTCCAAAAAGCAGCAAATACTTTCTCTTTAAAAACTAGAAAACAAAGCAAAAAAATTGTTTTG